AGGACAAACTGTAAAAAGATTTTACCAAGTACATGATTACAAATGTTTATTGTTAAAGTTCTAAAAGCTATACAGTATAGCAAGACAAGGGAAGGTTTTAAAATTAATCAGGGATTGAGAAATATGAAACAATGTAAAACATGATCAAGTTTTTATATGGTGTGGGACTTCCAGATCCAGACAGACAAAATGGTAATGGCAAACCAACTGGACATCGTGGTTGTGGATAAAGAACAGAGGAAAGCCGTTGTGGTGGATGTAGCAATACCAAGTGACCACAACATCAGGAAAAAGGAGCATGAGAAACTGGAGAAATACCAGGGCCTCAGAGAGGAACTGGAAAAGACCTGGAAGGTGAAGACCACAGTGGTGCCTGTGGTCATCGGGGCCCTCGGGGCAGTCACCCCCAAACTGGAGCAGTGGCTACAACAGATATCAGGAACAACATCAGACATCTCAGTCCAGAAATGTGCAGTTCTACACACAGCCAAGATACTGCGCAGAACCCTCAAGCTCCCAGGCCTCTGGTAGAGGACCCGAGCTCAGAGGATGAAAGAGACCACCCGCGGAGGAAGCACATTTATGAGTGACATTATATTCTTTTAGGCCAAACTTTAGCTTCTTCCTCCAGAAAGGAGTTGTGGCATTTACCCTCAAAGGTAAGCACGTGGTGACTGTTGTATTGTTATGTCTGTGTCCACGTGCGATTCACGTCAGCCACATATTTTTCAATTTCTGCGTGAATCTAGTCTTAATAACGTGCAGCTTCCACCTCACTTTAAGCTTCACTGCAATTGCTAAATTCAAAAAACCCCTGTACACGTCGAAATCCCGCCAGTGATGAAGGCAGTCAGACACAAACAGGATGTCCTCACCTAATCCACACTTAGGTGTGTTGGGGTCTCTAAAGCAGGACAGCAGCTTCACCATCTGTGTAAACCTCTAGCTGCTTAGCTCAGAGTTAGAAACCCCCCGGAGAAGAAAACCAAAGCAGTCAGTGTGCATCCTCCTGTGTCAGATTGGGACTGCTAAACACTACCAGACCAGAGGTATTAAAATTTATAAGCCTCCTTCACACTCCAGTAAACTCTGTTTGTTGCCTGCTGACCTCAGGCAAATGATTTCAGAGTCTGATGACCAAAAATGAGAGAACCATGATGAGTTTCTTTGCAAAGAAAGAAAAACCCTCAGGTCCGTAATCAGGATATGCAACAAACCCCAATCACCATCCAAACATTTAACCACTATGGAATATAATTTTTTGTACTATTTTTTGTTTTTAAATTGTATCACATTATATTAAATATTACATATATAACCTTGTTTTCCCCCAATGCTTTATCTGAAATTGTACATTTCTCTCTTAGAATCATACATTTTCCACATAATTTTAGACATCTAATGCCGTTTGTCACAAAATTCATGTCAAAAATAACTTTAAAAAGTAACATATGTGTGCAGTCAGGTTCTCCTCTGCCCCTTTCTTCTCATTTTCGGTTGGATTTTCACACTCACAGCTCATGTCCCCATGAGAATCCTTTTTAATTACCTGGCTCAGACAGTGTCTGCCATAACATGGCAGTGTTGTCTGAGGAGTCTGATGAGTGTGCATTCTTCAGCTGCTTTCCGTGGGCCTTAGAATAGACGGATTGGCACTTGGAGCCCTAAATTGGTTTTTCAGTCTGTGAATGAGCATGGTAGTTTAACAGCACACTTTTTTAAACTTCAGTTGTAACAACAATTCTTGGCTGTAAATGCAACTCTGCTGGAAAGTCTGTCCACTGCGTGTAAATGGCACCAGATTTGGACAAAAACGGATGTGTGAGTTGAGCGGTGAAGTTGCGTCTGTGGCTCTGGCACTGTTTGTATAGAGCAGATATCTTTCTTGAGAAATATGCAGTGGATCATTTGTGTCTGCACACTCGGGGTGAAGATAGATCGTGGGATGTCATATCGCAGGGAACAACCTGTGTGACTGATTCAGTCACAGGTCTTTCACCTCACATTGGGGGAAATTTACAACTGCTGCACTGTCTGGCCTGTTGCAATCTCAAAGAAATGAGTGATGACAGGGTTTTAATGCAAATAATCCGGAGGTTTGGCGTCTTTTACAGGGAGGACTGTAAAAGTTGCAGCATGCCAGCTCTCACGGAAAGGAGCCTGAGATTTATACTTTTTAGGTATGCATAAATATGGGAGTTGCTGATATTGGAGTCCAGTTAAAAGTGCAATCGGACTCAGTGCAAGCAAAGATGAGCTACTGAAGAGACATGTTTTAAAGAAGAAGCCAAAAGAAAAGCAATTTGACACAGATTTTAAATAGCTAACCATTAAGACAATTCAACTTGGAAATGGAGAGAATCTCCAGAGAATGACAACGCCGCCATTATTTTAAAAAAGAAATCTGAAAAAACATGAGGCTTTACGGCTTTGTTGTGACAGTTTTCTTCTACTGATTGCAGCTGGTCTAATTATCAAAGCTACTTTTATAGATTTTGGCATCACATCTCCATTGGTAGCCTCTTGGCTGAGGCTTTCACAGTGAATCTGCTGTAGGTGCTATGGGAAGCTCCTGTCATGTGTGCTTGATTACAGCCTGGAAGAGTGCTGAGCAGAGGTGGAAGTAACAGAGGCGACGTAATCAAGTGTCCTTCTAAAGTGCACACGCAATCTTCTGCTTCATGTGAGTGACTGACGGCATCAAATTTGGCTGCACTGAGGGAGAACGCCAAAACAAATGACCACTAATTCAGTCAATAATTAAAACATCACTTTGCATGATGAGCTCAGCAGATGTGCAGTTCCACCAGGCGTTTGCTAATTGCTGCTGGCTAGCCTGAAGGAGCTGAGAGGAGGAGTCACGAAGGAAGCGAGGTGGAAGCTCCGAAGCTTGGAAACTGCAGCTTGGAGGAGGAGCTTCATCCTCGAGGGCGGCACTAGGTCCACCCAGGCGTTTTTCACAATTAGATGGTTGCCACGGGAGATTAAAGGATTCCTCAGACATGCGTAAAAGAACCCAGTCAACACTCCATTAATATTTTTGATGAGGGAATGACTTTGTAACATGATGTAAATCTCAAAAAGGTTTATTTTACATGATACTGCCCCTTTAAAAAGAACTAAGATCCTTTCCTTATCCATAAACTCATCATGCCTCTTTACATCTGTTAAAGATCATCTTAGTGATCTGCTATGCCTGCTAAAAGCTCAACATCTGAAAGATTTATTCATATTGTACTTTAAAATAACCTACTGCTGCAAGAAAATGCAGTCAACTAAGCACTGTGCCACATGTTCTCAAACGGATATTAACACGACTTACTAAAAAGAGGGTTTGCAGCTTTCATTTCTTCATGTTTATTAGCTAAATGTGACCAGACCATAAAATCATGCCGAATTGAGGAAATACAATATATCAGGTGTGTCCACTGCTACAGCACTGCCTTATTGCAGCCTTGACACCCATAATGAGGCTGTGCTCATGTGTCCTCTCCTGACACATTTATGCTCTATTAAAACCATTAAGTGGAATTAGGTCTTTTTTTTTAATTGAAACCCTTTTCTTCTTTCTTGTGGATGCTTGTTGTCATGGAGACAAAGCAGGTTTGGCAGATCAACATCTGGTTCAGAGTCAAATTATATTTAATCAGGTCGTTCTGGCTCTCTGCCAGCCTCCAGTTCTTTACCCTGCCTTTATATTGCCTCTCTGTTCATCATCCTTAAGCTCCACCAAAGTACGCTAATGAATAGAGCAATATTGACTCTTTTAGTCAGCAACCGATTTGGCATTATTACAAAGCAGTATTTACATCGATTCCAACTGCATTTCTTGGCCTTTTGTTTATTTGAGCTCGTCACGAGCCCAAGCTTGAAGCACTTCCTTCTTAGATTAAACAATGGAGGAAATAAGTATAGCTACACGATGTTTATTTAATTTAATTGTGAATCACTTTCATGAAAGTTACTATAATTTTTTTTTTTCTCGAAACTACATCTGCCTGTGTGTCGCTTTACTGACAATGGGATTTATTTTGCAGTGTTTTGGGGACCTCTGCTGGTCAAACAAGTGAAGCAATCTGAAATCTTTACAGCGCGTTTCAGAAAGTCTGAACACAAAACACACAGTCAACCAGTCTCCCCCCACCACAAAAAAAGAAAAGCTCAAGCTTAGTGTATTTGTCAGAATATTTCTGTGTCTTTAACTAGCTATGTCATTAACATTGATGGAGAGGCAGAAGCAGGCAGTGAGAAAAATGATTGTCTTCAGGACAAGCAGTTAGTGCTCAAGAGATGAAAGATGGAGCTTCATTTTGGGGCTCATTCTGCTAAAATGGTAGCTTTATTGTTGTCCAGCAGATGAAAAATGGACTGTGTATTGCCTAAGACTTTTTTACTGGCTACAGGTGGACAAAGATGTGGTTTTGTACTGTCGCTGCTGCCATGCTGAAATGAATTCCTCCTTATCATTATTGACTTTATGACCAGACATGTCATAGCAAAACATTCTTGGCAGATGAATCGGTTTTGATTGGTCCAGATTATTATTATTTTTTTCTACTTTCAACTCTGGTGTTAACTGAACATTTTGAAGTATAAGTGACTTCTGCAGGTGGTGAATTGGTGGTTCTTACAGCCCACAACCTATTTACGTTTTTGGCAAAGTTTTAAACATCTCACCAGACGGTATTTTGTTGGAACCCTATAATGTAATGCTTGTGATCTGAATGCTTTGGTTCTGAGGTGTGGAATCAGTAGAAAAAAGCTTGAATTGACATTATTTGTTTCATGGAAAATTAATAAAATAATTGCCAAAAAATATATAAAAACATGTTAAAAGCATGTGGATTTTTCTGTAAGAAGGAAGGAAATGTTATTCATGAGAAACTCTCGTAAAGTTTTGTCTGAGAAGCAATGTGGCAAAACTATCCTCTGTCTGGTGCTCAAATGTCCTACAGCAGCAAATGCATCGCCACAAAAAGGCGCGCAATGGCTTGATTAGGCTGATGAGGTTCACCTGTTGATGTGACGCACAACAGGGACGGAGAATTGAAGAGAGTACTGGGCGAGGACACAGTGCCGTTCTGGGAGGAAATCACTTGCAGCCAAAGAGAAGGTGTTTATCCTGAGGAAAACCTACCTTTTAAAAATGAGACTGAACTGAAAACCTGTCACTGAGCTGCCTGGCCAAGGAGGAAAAAGAGATGAGAAGCAGCCAAGAAAAATATGGAGGTCCAGGTGGGCACCATTACCAGTGGTGCCCAAAGTTGATCCTCAAGGGCTGGCATCATGCATGTTTTAGTTCTCACCCTGAATAGTCACTTATGTTTCAGTGTAACTGAGTGATAGTAACAACCTTCTCAGCATGTCTGTTCTTCTTAGGCCTCAAATGAGCCACCATTGGATCCAGGTGTGTCAATCCAGGGTGAGAACTAAAACATGCAGGATGCTGGCCTGACTTTGGGCACCCCTGGTTTATGCATTTTATGGAACCTTTAAATGTTGGAAAATTGACTGAAGGGTTTGGTCTGTAGGTAAGTTTTATTAGTGGTTGGAGAAGATATTTAGGCAAACCTTTTCTGGGATTTAATTTTGTGACATGGGGAGTTTTTTTTTTTCCCTCTTCCACAACTTTTAAAATTGAAGTGCTATCCTCTCATCATCTATGTTGGATGTTTTCTAGACTTTTGACACCTCAGGAGAGATGGGATGCGGGGCGAGCTGAAAATCGTGCTGTGGCATGAAATGTAGAAGCACCACAGGACCTTCTTTGGTGCCATTCTGTTATTGACCTTGCCTCAGAATCCACTTACTCACAAACCATCTGCACCATTTATTTTTTTTATCTTTTGTTTGCTCTGCAGAGAAATAATTTTCACCACAACCTCCTTGGTGGTGATAAATATAATTTAAACATTGACTACTCGGTAGAGGAGAAGAAAGGAACCTAAAAGAAATATAATTTTTCACTAGACTTCTTCTTTTTTTTTTTTTTTTTTTAATACATCTACTCTCCAGAGAAAATGGCTCATTTCTCCTTACTGCATCTTAAACACCAAAATTGTCACACTGAATGGTCACTTAAGTTTCAGTGTAACTGGGAAACTGACTGGAGCTGTGCCACTATGGGGCAACGATGGGGTCAAATCTAACTTGTTTAGGGTTTATTTGTAAACTTAAATTACAAAGCAAATGTATTTTTCTCCACTACTAAAGGCAAACCTTTCCAGTAGATTTTCTAACATTGAGAAGATTTAATTTGTTTGTTTTTTTTCTTTTTGTGCATAAGATGTGCCTTATTCAGTGCAACAAATGTAGGAAATGGATAGAGGGATTCTTTATTTAAGTGATGTTATATATAACTTTTTTCTTATCAGTTTTTTGTGCATTATAAATGAAACGTGCAGATATATTATGTTAAAGTTGCTTGTAATGAGCATTTCCTTTATCATATGGATTTCTAGTCTCATCCAAGTTCAATGAGCACAGTAATTTCTGCCTTGATTATTATTATAGTGGTAATGTCTCCAATGTTGACAGTGCAATAAAAATGGCTTTTATAAAAGCCCAACAGCTGGTCTGGGGTGAAGGTTGTGATTTGCGCCATTAGTTTTAGTGCAGTTGCAGCTGACCATGCTTACTAACTTTCTGATTTCTCTTTAATTCTACTGAAACAGCAGAGGTGTACTTGGTTTTTGCTCATGCCGCTCTTCCGATTGCACTCAGTTTTTACTAAATGAATACTGGATTGTTAAGCTCTTCTGATATGGTTTTGTACTTGCCAATTAAATGCTGCTTAACTCTTACTACCTCATACTGTACTGAAATACACAGTTGAATTTGCAAATAAAATAAAATGCAAAAGTCAGCCAAAAAAAACCTTATGTGAAATGTTAATTCTATTCTTAAATATGACATGTTGGTGTGGTTCAGTATACTAAAATCACTGCAGTTTAGAGGCGTTCAGTTATATTCAGCTTTACTGAGGTATACAGAAGCTGTTGGTCCCAGCTGTAGCTATTTGGGATTGATTTACCCCAGTTCTAAGGTTTGGGGGGGGAACTCATTCAGTTATGATTTTTACCATGGACAAAATTTGCTCGTAATTATAACCAATAAAGTAACACTGGATGAAAGTGGTAAAATTTTGTTTAAAACTGCCTGCAAAGTATGGTATTGTGTTGATATACTGAAATCCTGTTGTGTTAAAATTAGAGTTTAAGAAATCTGTTGGTGCAGCAACTTTATTTACCATAAACAGTAATTACTGTAATATGTACAAGTGTACACTTGATGGCAGCATTGTGACATTGGAAAAAAGTCAATGCCTCAACATTGACATCATGAAGTGCACAGGATGCTGAGAAACTGACAAATTTAGAGTACTTAAACTTCAGCTATTCTCTTACTGTGAAACCTAACAGTTGCATAAAAATACAGCAAGCTTGTGTTTGTAATGTAAAAATATGTACTATTCTGCTTGCTCATTTTATCAATTTTAGTATTTTAATCAGTTTTTTTTTCTGTGTTTACAGTGATTTCAAATAACTGGGTACCTGAACTGAAAACTTTAGCATATTAGCTTATTTCCTGAGCTATTAAAACAATCTTTAGTATACGCACCACCCCATCTCTACTTTCTCAGGGGAACCTAGATTACTGAGCAACTGTGGGAGTTGCTAATTGGCAAGCAGGGTGTCTGTTGAAAGGTGGCTGCATAAAGTTTGTAGATGTTTGTTGGGATAAAACATTAAAATCAACTTTTATGTAATAAAATGAAAAACTGACCTCCAGTCTTCTAACAACTATTTGGTACCAGTTAAGAGTGACACTTTGTTTTCAACAAAACATAAGCTGCCAAAGTCTTGTAGTACTGCTGTTTGTGTTGTGATGGGTGGATAAAGGTATACTACAAATAAAGAACCACTGAAATGTATATATATTTTTTCTTTTTTCCTGTAGCTCTGCCAAGAACTGCCAGATCACTTGCAAGTCAAAATCTTGTCAATAGCAAGGAATGTCACTGGCTTTAATCCTGTAGATGTATATCCCTTTTATTTCTTTCATGGTGAGTTGTTTTTGAAGAGTGCTTTTTCTCAGACTGAAATGTATTGTGGAAAAATGAAATGAGAAGGGGTGTCATGTTTAAAATGATAAAAGCACTCATGTCCCGTCTCCATGGTGCTCAGTTATTCTCAGCCAGGAGTGAAGTTGCCTTGTGCCAGTGCTTTTCTAAATCAACATTTCTGTTGTAGACCGGCTTTGTCCTCTGACACATTTTGCTCGAGCTAAATTTGATGACTCCCTCTCCGCTGCCACTTTCCTCTTGGATGGACCCCTCGGGGTACAAGAGTGTCACGGACTGCTGCACCACCCCATCCCGATGTCCGTCGCCCCCAGCACAGTCGTATGCCTTCTCCCCAACCCTGCAGTGCCGCTTTGCAGAGGCAGATTATACTTGATGACTTCATCTTAATCACATTGTTTCATTTTCTTTTATCAGTGCAGCCGTCATGCTACACTGACTGCAAAATACTCCATAAGTGGGTTCACACAAGCCTCTTATGCATTCACATGTAGGGGAGAGGAATGCTCACAACCCAGAACTGCTTTTGATTAATTTGAAGGAAAAACTTTAAAGTCAAACTCTGCATGATTAAATTACTTTTAAATGGCTGTGACTTTTAATCTTTAACCACAGAGGATTTTCTACTTTATGTTGGAGCAAAACAAACAGAAAATGAACAAGTGTTAAATATTTGTGAAAACTAATTTATTTTTATTTTTTTTAGCCTTTGTTTCATATTATGTTGTGTGCTCTCACTTGGTCTAATTGGAGATAAGACATTTATCATTCATGTAGATTATGGTTTTAATTAACTGTTAAGATTCAATAGGTCTTTATTGCCATGACAGGTCTGTTTGAGGATCCAAACACGGGCAGAACGGTGACAAAATGAAACACTCTGCGTTACAAATGTGCACAAAACTTTCAGTATTCTGTAATTGTCAAAAAAGCACACTTTTGCATTGTGGTGCTTTCATTAAATAAGAAATGCAATTAAACGTAATTTCACATATTAAAATGATAAAACAAACGTAAAGCATGATCTCCATGCTTTTGCTTAAAATTCTAACAATTGAATACTTATTGCTGTATTAAGCTACCTGATCCATTTCTCAGTCCTACTTCATGCATCATTGCACAATTAACTTTATTTCTATTGTGGAATATCTAACATGTTCATAACATATCTACTTTGTAAATTTTAATAAAAAATGCCTGGAGAGGAGTCATTGGTAGCATCAGATGTTAGTTTGGTAACGAGTTATTTAATCTGAAAATTAAATTGGTACAAAAGTACAGTAGCAACTATTTTATTTTTATTTTAAAGGCAGGATTTCTTTTAGTTGGTGCATAAAAAAAATCAGCATCTGAAACTGTTCAAGACCTTGTATGATTTCAAAATAAAAAGGAAACTGTAATTTTGTGTTACTTTACAGATTTCCCCTTAAATTATTCATACCCTTGACAGATTTAGGTTTAAAAGCAATTTTTGTTTTTGAACACCAGAGTTTTTACAACTGGAAGTAATGCTAATGCTTTTGAGTCCAAAAGGAAATTGGTAGAGGGAGCCAAAGATTAGGGAAATGGCAACGAGGCTTTCCAGGAGGCTCATCGACAAAAATCACGTCAGTGGACGTGTGTGGAAAACCGGCCAGCAATTATAAAAAGGCCTCAGCTGCTTTAAGGCTAATAAAGATTTTACCATTGATTATTGAAAACAATTTAATTTTAGATGTGAGAATTTTTAAATAAAATGTAAAAAAAAAAAAAAATTTCAGAACTACTTTAATCTTTTGAAAGATGGCTGTCTCAACTCATCAGAAATAAACCTTTTACTTGGAAGAAGTGGATGTAAAAGCTAAATCTGAAATCTGATTTGAATAATTTTCAGCTTAACTGTAGCTGTTAACTCACTTTTGTATTGTAAATGAGTTTGGGAATCTAAAGTCATTATCGGAAAAACTATGGGTGTTAAGCGGTTGGCGTGTCTGGAACATGCAGCAGCCCTGCACCACTTCACTCACTTCCAACAGTTTTGACCTTGCTCTAACTTCAGACGCACACTCCCAGAAACATGGGTTTTCTTGGCCATGGCAGGGCGCCAAAATAAATAACCTGCCCTCAGAGTGTCGGCAGAACCGCAAGAAATCCAAAACCAGGTCCCGGCCCCGGCGGCACTCACTCACAGGGCTATCGGCGAATGACTTGCTGAAATTTTAATTGTCCGAATGCATCATGTGGTTTGGAAACAAAATCAAATCAGGATGGATCATCCTTCCTCTTTGATGCCCATCCAAAAGGAGAGTAGCATTTTTGATTAGGGTTTCATTTATTTATTTTAGCCGGCTCTGATTTCAAGGTCGGGTTACACCAACTTGGGGGACAAACAGATGACATTGTATGGATAGGTAATTCAAGAGTCCGCATGCTTTGATCCTCACAGATAAGAGGGAGATAAGAGACAAGTGTCTTGTAGAATAGAGGACATCCATCCAGAAATTCAATCGCCGACGCTCGCTCAAAAAAAATGGTTCCCATGGAATGAAGAGATTGATATCCATTCCTTCCTCCAATTAAGAAGATCAGAATTCCATACATGCTGACGCGTCTTGAATGGCTGCCTTTTCAGCCGCTTTTCATTTCAACCTAAGCACTTCTTTTTGGAAAGCAAAGTTTCTCTAAAGTTTTATTTTACATAGCAGATACGAGTCTTCACAGCCACCTTCTACAGAAATGACTTCAGTTTGCAGTGAAGACATTGCATTCAAAAATAGGGTTAATTTGTAAGGGAATATTACGAGCAATAAAAACTGAGGTTCTCAACAATTTATGAAAACTATTATTTTAAATAAAGATATAGTAAATTAGTCTGAAATGATTTTATATTTAACTTCAGAAAAGCGCAATAGACCTCCAATGAGGCCCATTCTCCCTTTTTTTTCTACTTATTCCAAAAACAAAGAATTCATTTTTCACTTGCACCATGACATCCTCAAGTTACGTCTACCTTCCTACACCAGTAAAACTTGAGGGATGAGAAGCAAATATCAGTGGATAAACGACAACAAACATCTCTAATATCTGAAGTAAAAACAAATGGAAAAGGAGCTAAACTGAATAAAAAGTCACTGAGAAGCAAATGATTACAAACTGTTTGTATCCCAAAAGAATTTAACTACACTGTTGTAATGAAGTTCATATTATATAAAGAAACCCATATACGATGATCCATTTATAAAGTTCATGTTCTTTAAACTGTGTGGTGGCCTTTGAGTGTGCCATCTTTGCTGGTTATTTATTGTATAAGCCATTAATAATCATGCAGTAAATATTCATTACAAGCCAGCATATCGCATAAAGGCCAGGTCTAGCAGATTAAAAATGCATAAGGAGTAATGGGACTTGAATACCTTAGTGGACGCCTTTAAATATGTCGACACAGCAAGAAGCAACTGAAGATATACAATATGACACTTTCAGCACCAAACATTGACAGTGAAAGGAAAAAGTAGGACACCCCAATTTAATATTTGCTGTTCATTAAGAAATGGTCACATTTTAATATCAAAGTTGATGATTCTTAAACAAAGGAACCTATTTTTCCCACTAAATAGGATATAAAAAATGTTCTCTGAAGGAAAAAGCTACAATACACCGCTCTTAGAAGTCCTTTTCACCTTTATGAAAAGTGACAGGGACTTTTATAAATTTCTCTAGATTTATGGAAAGTCTGAGTCTGTTATCTCTGGCAAACTTCAGTCTGACCTGATTCATCTTTGTTACAGAGCAAATGTTTTCCTTGGAAATGTACCATTTAGTATCTTGCATTCTGTTTTTAACCTGTCCAGGGTGACTTCGCCTGAAACATCGATGGAGATGGGCACCAGCATCCCTCCTGACCCCACTAGGGATAAAGGTTTGCAGAAGATGGATGGATGGCGTTCTGTTTTTAGCGTAAACCTGTCGGATGCTTTGAATATCTCTCATTTTGTAGACTCTTCTGTACAAAGGAATGGTAACAGAACTCTTTAAATCTCATCAGTTTGTTTGTATACCGCATTTCAGGAACAAGGCAGTTCAAAGTTCACACAAAAAATACAACTTATACTACAACTCTGAGGGGAAAAAATAACTGCAGCTAAACTATTTATGAGCATATATCTGCCAGAATTAAAGCCTTACCCAGGGAAATAAGAACACCATTTCTAAGAAACGTGAATTTTGGTTAAACCCAACAAGCAGTTTTCACTTGCCTGAAAATATTTGACTTGGCTAAACTCCCAAAACTCTAAACATTTATCAGGTTCCTCAAGTAAAAGCAGTGCAATGCTATTTTAAAAAATATCTTTAAGCAAATTTGAATTACCGGAAGCTAACTGTGCACAGGTAGCAGATGGCTGAGTTCAGTGGGGCTAAATTATGCTAACATCTAAATCACAGTAGTCTAAGCTCCAGAAATGTTTCAGGCAAGGCTCAGAATATGTACTGTGTGTCCAGTGCTCTGACTGTTGTGGAAATGATTGAGAAGATCTTACAGCATATTGAAAACTAAAAGTTTTAAAATGTATTTTCTTCTGTTTGAATCGTTTAGTTATGTTACTTGGATTTCTCAGAATTCTCAAAATTGCTAGAATATATTTCTGGGAAGCACAACCTTTCACAGGCTGACTTATTTTTTTCACAGATGCATATCATAGTACTTCTGACATCAAATTTAATGAACAGAAATCGAACATCTTGGTGAACATGATCCTAAGGATTTTTTTTATTCCCCCCATCTGCATATGAACTAAGTTAACAGATGATTTAGTGCATAGTTGTAAAAGCAAACTAACAGCACTTTGTAGCTTTAGCACCCTTCTTGCTGTGAGCAACAATATTTGATGCAATTGCACAGTTTAAACAAGAAGAATACCTGAGATGACCAGCAGGTGTCAGCTTTGCATAAGACAAGATGTGACTTCTTTCCTGAAACTTGGACCACCGAGTCTTCTTTCAGATTACCTTGAACGTCGAGCCCCTTTTGGAAGCCTTTAATATTAAAAACATAAGGTTCATGTTGTAATTTTCTTAAGGCTACAGGTTAGATTAGAATGACAGTGTTGTGATGTTTTATTAGCAGGTCTGAGTGATACTTGACCTGTCAGGCCCCTTCTGACAGATGGTGCTGCTGTTTCCAGTTTAGTTGTTCCAGTCTATAATAGTTGTTTACTTCTACCAAGATTATTGAACAATGGGAGATGACATTTATCCATGTTTTCCACGTGTCTTAGTTTTTCTAAAAATACATTGTAGAGAGTTCAGAAGATAGGTTAGGCTCTATTTTATTTACAACTGAGCTGCTGTTGGAGTATCTTGCAAAATTACACTTTTTCTCACAATAACTATATGTAAACACTTTATTGGAATTTTAAATTAGACAAAGTAGGGCACAATTAAGCCTGTAAAAAATGTTCTTAGTATTTCCAGGTATTTGGTATTTAGAATTCTTCCATCAACTGCGACAAGGTCGCTTGCTGTTGCTGAAGAAAAGTACTGTCATCAGATCCACATTCACCCCCAACACGACTTTTTGCTAACTTTAGGTGGGACTTCTTATGGCAGTCTTTCAGTCTTTCAGTCTTTCTCTGAAGAAGACGAGCACCATTTTATGACAAAATCCATTATTTCTCAGGTGTCATGTAAACACGTTTCACAGTAACAATGACTTTATTTAATATTCCAAAAGGTATGTGGCCACCTTGACTTGAGGTCTAACACAGAACACTGTATGTAATCTAGATAAAATCAATCTATCTTGGTCTGACATCCATTATAATTATTTTTAAATTTACATCTCCCTATATTGAAACTATCAGAAACTTAAGTTGTCTTGAAATGCTGATAAAGCAGCTGGCATAAGTCTTTATGCTGTCTTTTATTTATTTCTTCTTTATTTCTCAACAGCTGAATAATTTGTACTGATATCTTGCTAAAGGCAGCAGATTGGCTGATAAATAAGAAGGAAATATTGGACAATTTTAAAGTCTTTGCATCTTTTCCAAATCTGTTGGTGGCAAAAACTGTGCTACTGAGAAACTCTTGAAACTTTTAAGATATATGGAGAAGTAGTAAAATACATGTAACTCATCACATTAAAATATTT